GATTAATTCCAATAGAACCCAGCCCGACCCCCAAACTCCACTTTTTGACGACAAATAACTATGTTGTAGTAAAAATAACATCTTAATTTTATGATGGTACATGCACACAATTAATACTTAAGAGAAATAGAAATACAGTCGCCAAGTTAATGTCCATTCAAATAATGGACTCAACTCCCTCCCTCTCACACTACAGTACACAGCCAGCTAACAGATGGTCGGTCGGTCCCTCCCTCCCCCCAACCCCCCACCAACCGTCCCAAGGAGATGTGTGGGATAACCTCAAACTAAAGTTAGGAAAATATAATTGACATTGCTGGATTCCTTGTAAGACCAGGAATATTTTGAATATAAATGTCATATATTTTTCACAAAAGATAACATACTTACACAGATTAAACATTTTATCTAAAAATTGTATGTTTAATGCAAAAAATATGTTGTTTATATTCAAAATGATCACCAAATTATAAGAATTCCAGCAATGTAAATTATATTCTGGCCGGATAATTTGTATGAATTTTATGAGCTAAAACAAATATCTTCAGTTAATAAAAAAAAAAATATATTCTTCAACACTATCTGTCAATCAAAGTACCCCACCTTGCCTTCCCCCCCTCTTCCAACCGCGTGGTCAGTCCCAACCCTCCCCCCACCCCCACCAATCCTCCATTCAAGAGTTTTTAACATTTAGTATTAAATAATACCTCAGATTAAAGTTAGGATAATATAATTGACATTGCTGGATTCCTTGTAAGACCAGGAATATTTTGAATATAAATGTCATATATTTTGGACAAAAGATAACATACTTACTCAGATTAAACATTTTATCTAAAAATTGTATGTTTAATGCAAAAAATATGTTGTTTATATTCAAAATGATCACCAAATTATAAGAATTCCAGCAATGTAAATTATATTCTGACCGGGTAATTTGTATGAATTTAATGAGCTAAAACAAATATCTTCAGTTAAAAAAAAATAATTCTTCACCGGGTAACAGATGGTCGGTCGGTTGGTCCCTCCCTCCCCCCCACCCCCCACCAACCGTCCCAAGGAGATGTGTGGGATAACCACTAAATTTTAATAAATAATACCTCAAACTAAAGTTAGGATAATATAATTGACATTGCTGGATTCCTTGTAAGACCAGGAATATTTTGAATATAAATGTCATATATTTTGGACAAAAGATAACATATTACTCAGATTAAACATTTTATCTAAAAATTGTATGTTTAATGCAAAAAATATGTTGTTTATATTCAAAATGATCACCAAATTATAAGAATTCCAGCAATGTAAACTATATTCTGGCTGGGTAATTTGTATGAATTTTATGAGCTAAAACAGGCAGTCAGGCAGGGTGGCGGGTGGGGGGTGGTGCGAATCTAAAAATAGCTCTCGAGCCGGACACTCACCGCGTTGCTGTGGAAAAATCCGCGTTAAGTGAAAGTTCAGCTTTGGCAAGGCACCGCGTATATGCGAAAACGCGTTAAGTGAAAGCGCGTTAAGCGGGGTAATTGTATATATATATATATATATATATATATATATATATATATATATATATATATCTTGATAAAATCACACGGGGGGAAAAGGGAAACAATGGAGCACCTTAGCTTTCGACTTTATTCACATCTTCAGAGGCAACTGGATTACATGGAGAGAGGCTTAAATATACAGGGTGACCTTATTAAACATGGGGTCAGGTCATAATGATGTCATCCACTAATCCCCACACCAACACACACGTAGAGGAGCTTAAGAGAAAGGGGGTGACATGACTAGCAAGTCAGGTCCAAGGTTTTCAAAGTATTTTTAACCGTGGGCCACTGACAAATAAATTTATGTAACATATCAGTTTTGTACTGATAAGAGTTAATGAGCGACTTATTTGGGATGAAATGCGCAGGGCATCCAGACATAGCAAAGTCTGTATAGTAGGCGACTTTAATTTTAGCCAACTAAATTGGATCGACCTTACAGGCAACTCAGAATCAGAGGATTCTTGAGACAGTTCAGGACTGTTTCCTAAGTCAACATAAAGCCAAACCCAACCGGGGTAATAATGTACTCGATTTGGTTCTGTCTAACAGAGAAAACCTCATTAGTAATGTCGAGGTAGGGAACAAACTTGCCAACAGCGATCACAAAGAAATAAGATTTCATGCCATTCGCAAGGAAAATTCCATTAAGTTCCAGATTTCAGAAGGGCAAACTTTGATAGGTTAAAAAGGCAGCTGAGAGAAGTTGTATCACACTTGGGGATGGATTACATGACCTCACACAATGTACCCACAGGAGACCACTTTACCTGGAGACCTGACAACGATAACCTCACAAAATATGACGGTTGAGGATGACCTGATCACGAGATCTGAGGTTGATGAGTTCCACAACAATTTAAATAACGAGTTATTTAATGCACAAAGGCAGAACATACCATACAGAAAACTCAGATCAAACAATGATCCAAAATGGATAAATAATTATTTCACGAATATTATTGTATATAGGAAGGCTATGGGTAGGAGAATAAATCAGGTGAAGTTTACCTCTGAGATTATTATGAGGTATTGGCCAGTAGGGTTAAGATTGAGATACAAAAAACAAAGAGGAATAATGAACTGGAGGTAGCAAGGGAGGCAAAATCAAACCCCAAGGGATTCTATCAAATATGTCAAACTAAAACACGAGAAAAGATTGGACCAATACAGTCAGATACCAGCAAGCTAACTGATAACGATCGAAAAATGACCAATAAACTGAAAAAATATTTTTCAACAGTTTTCACCTCCGAAAATTTAAACATGATACCCGAGACATCGACTATACAGTATACAGAGATAGTGAAGAAAATAGTGACTTGTAACGATGTTAGTAAGCAAATAGACAAGCTAAAGTAGAGTTGTCATATATAAGGACGTTCCGGGAGACATATTCCCCCCGCATACACTTTGGCGCCGTAACCTTGAAGCAGCAGTGTCTCTACAGCTGTCAGCCCTCACTGTCTCTACAGCTGTCAGCCCTCACTGTCTCTACAGCTGTCAGCCCTCACTGCTCCTACAGCTATCAGCCCTCACTATCTCTACAGCTGTCAGCCCTCACTATCTCTACAGTGGTCAGCCTCACTGCCCTACAGCTCAGCCCTCACTGTTCTACAGCTCTCAGCCTCACTGTCTCTACAGTTTCTCAGCCTCACTATCTCTTTAGCTGTCAGCCTCACTATCTCTACAGCTGTCAGCCTCACTATCTCCTACAGCTGTCAGCCCTCACTGTCTCTACAGCTGTCAGCCCTCACTGTCTCTACAGCTGTCAGCCCTCACTGTATCTACAGTGGTCAGCCTCACTGTCTCTACAGCTGTCAGCCCTCGCAATTCTAAGGCTGTCAGCCCTCACCAACAAGTAACTTCAGTTTGACTTTTTCATGTTACAGATGAACAAATACTTCTATGCATCTGTTTCTTCTGTCACTTTAATTGATGTTCTAGAGCACCATTACTACAGTACTGTACACGACTTACTACAGTGGTACAAGTTTACTACAGTATATATATTACCACAATAAATACAGGTTGTATTTCTCAGTCCGCAACCTCGACCTGACCGGTGCCGACCATGGAAATTCACCCTTTCCTGGATAGATAGTGACTGTGCTTACGCTGGAAGCACTAGCACCACTTCTCTGCTTCATTGTCTCTTTGAAGACATATTAAATATCATACAGTAGCTTCTCAAACTTCGCGAAGTTTTAATTCAATGTTTTTATTGAACACAAAAAACAATTGAAAATTTTGACGCTGAAACTCGAATTTCGACGGGTTTGAACGGCTCACCAACGCTCAGACGCGCACAATCGCGTAAGCAGCGCCATTTCTTTTGTATAAAGGATTCATTATTGCTTATTACTGAATGTCTTTTTGATTGAATTAATGTTTGTGTGCAAAATGAGCAATGAAATCATTAATAATACTGAGAATATTAAAACACAGAGACAAACCTTACATAAAACAAAAAAAAAAGAGAGAGAGAGAGAGAGAGAGAGAGAGAGAGAGAGAGAGAGAGAGAGAGAGAGAGAGAGAGAGAGAGAGAGAGAGAGAGAGAGAGAGAGAGAGAGAGAGAGAGAGAGAGAGAGAGAGAGAGAGAGAGAGAGAGAGAGAGAGAGAGAGAGAGAGAGAGAGAGAGAGAGAGAGAGAGAGAGAGAGAGAGAGAGAGAGAGAGAGAGAGAGAGAGAGAGAGAGAGAGAGAGAGAGAGAGAGAGAGAGAGAGAGAGAGAGAGAGAGAGAGAGAGAGAGAGAGAGAGAGAGAGAGAGAGAGAGAGAGAGAGAGAGAGAGAGAGAGAGAGAGAGAGAGAGAGAGAGAGAGAGAGAGAGAGAGAGAGAGAGAGAGAGAGAGAGAGAGAGAGAGAGAGAGAGAGAGAGAGAGAGAGAGAGAGAGAGAGAGAGAGAGAGAGAGAGAGAGAGAGAGAGAGAGAGAGAGAGAGAGAGAGAGAGAGAGAGAGAGAGAGAGAGAGAGAGAGAGAGAGAGAGAGAGAGAGAGAGAGAGAGAGAGAGAGAGAGAGAGAGAGAGAGAGAGAGAGAGAGAGAGAGAGAGAGAGAGAGAGAGAGAGAGAGAGAGAGAGAGAGAGAGAGAGAGAGAGAGAGAGAGAGAGAGAGAGAGAGAGAGAGAGAGAGAGAGAGAGAGAGAGAGAGAGAGAGAGAGAGAGAGAGAGAGAGAGAGAGAGAGAGAGAGAGAGAGAGAGAGAGAGAGAGAGAGAGAGAGAGAGAGAGAGAGAGAGAGAGAGAGAGAGAGAGAGAGAGAGAGAGAGAGAGAGAGAGAGAGAGAGAGAGCAGCCGGATGTAAACAAACCTTAATTTTCTGTGGCTTTGCTGTTTCTTTTACGGGGATTAGCCCACCCGGTCATAGGTCACTGACCCACATTGGGGCCTGAGGGGCGAAAATTTAATACTCCTGTAATAATAATAATAATTCAGATAAGTTCTATAAAAAAAAAAAAGCTGCCTATCTACTTATTGGACAACTAAAATCGTTCCGGACCACGGGAGTTTCTGGACCACAGAATGCCGGACTAGAGAGGTACAACCTGTACTAGTTTATGTGTTGCAGTTGAACTGTACAATTACTAACCAGGAGAGCGCGAGGCTCCTGGCGTCTTTCTACTAATTATGTCTGGGATTATACCGGTACCTTGTATTGTTCAGTATTTCTCAAAAGCTAGGGTCATATTATACAAGAGCTATATGAAAAGCTCACAATTATTTAACAACAAAATCAGGGATCAAACTACATATAAGATCAGTTTATGCACGAGTAAATACGGTAATAACAACTTGGGCTACATTCATAAAGTTTGCTCAAGTGGTTTTAAGTTGAAGTATTCAAGTTTCACATTACTCTTCTGCTGAACTGATTAAAAAATTTATTTAATTCTCTTTTTTTCGTGCACAAGTAAATGAAGCCTGAGTTTGTTTTTCCTGGAAAAATGTTTCCCACATTCATCACATTTAAAGTTTTTAACACCACAGTGAACAACAAGAATATGGTTCTTGAGATGACACTTTTGAGAAAAATTTTTCCCACATTCATCACATTTAAATTTTTTAACACCACGGTGAACAGTAAGAATATGCCTACTCAGACAACCATTTTCAGAATAATGTTTCTCACATTTATCAAACTTACTACCACTGTGCTCTGCAAAACTATGTTCCCCAAGAGCATCATTTTCTGAAAAATGTTTCCCACATTCTTCACATTTAAAGTTTTTAACACCACAGTGAACAGCAAGAATATGGTTCTTGAGTTTACAATTTACGGAAAAATGTTTCCCACATTCATCACATTTAAAGTTTTTAACACCACAGTGAACAGCAAGAATATGGTTCTTGAGATTACCCTTGTTTGAAAAATGTTTCCCACATTCATCACATTTAAAGTTTTTAACACCACAGTGAACAGCAAGAATGTGGTTCTTGAGAGAACTATTATGTGAAAAATGTTTCCCACATTCATCACATTTAAAGTTTTTAACACCACAGTGAACAGACTCAGTATGTTTCTTGAGATGACTGTTTTGTGAAAAATGTTTCCCACATTCATCACATCTAAAGTTTTTAACACCATGGTGAACAGCAAGAATGTGGCTCTTGAGATTACCATTTTCTGAAAAAAGTTTCCCACATTCATCACATTTAAAGTTTTTAACACCACAGTGAACAGACTCAGTATGTTTCTTGAGATGACTGTTATGTGAAAAATGTTTCCCACATTCATCACATCTAAAGTTTTTAACACCACGGTGAACAGCAAGAATGTGGCTCTTGAGATTACCATTTTCTGAAAAAAGTTTCCCACATTCATCACATTTAAAGTTTTTAACACCATTATGTGCAATTATGTGTTTCTCAAAAGAACTCTTCCAGCCAAATGACTTGCCACATTCCTCACAGGAGTATGTTGTTTTCCCACTGGACATTGTACTCAGCATCACATTTGATCCCGAGATGTGGCGTCACAATGTCTGAAACATGAAGTTTAACCTTAGATAATATTCCCACCACAAGTACACTACTGTACATTTCTTATTTTTAACAAACAGAGAGAGAGATCAGACAAGTGTCACTGTCAAATCTATTCACCATGGCATCCTCTTCTTGAAGGCTGAAATGATTGAGGTTATACCACAGAAGAAAAACAGAGGTAGGGAGTTGCACAGAGTGCTAATACACAATACAATATACAGTACGTCATGGTCCTCACAGGGTGCTTGGTGGTGGCACTATTGAGTCAGCACAATGACTGTGAACAAACAATTCTGTACAGATGACTCGGCCCTTCACTCTCACTTCCCCAGTCTCACGTGACACACATTTTAATGGCAGACAACAGACCTCTTCAACTCTACAGGAAGACTTAACTTACTGGGGTGGACCCAACCTGGTTTCCTTCATGTCAAACAAACAATATACATAATGTTTAACAACTGGTATGCTACATAAATCTTCACACCACCATTATTCCATTATCACACAACATTGAGATTTTGGCATCACCCTAACTTTAAGTCTTACCAAGAAAAACTTCTTAATATATTTAGCTAAACCTTTACCACTGAACAGCTGTCAAACATTTACGTATGCTATGTGTGCTCCCAGATGGTGTACTGTACAGTACTGTCATCAACTGAGGGCTGGCTGGCTGGGGCACTTCACTTCTGTCATTTAACAGAGAAAAATCATCATAACAATCAACAACAATGGACTTGGCTGTTGTGTTCTGACCTCGCTGGAGGAAAGGTCACAGCAGTCTTAGCTCCCAGGGATTAATTGTCAGAATTGTAATGGCTTGTGCTACTTGTGAGCAGGGCCGCGCCCTTCTGAGGGCCAACTACTGGCCGAGTTAGTGAAGGTCAAGGAAGAAAACTTGAAATTAAAGGAAGTGACAGCAAGAATGAAGGAAGAAGACACGAGACAAGGAAAGCCCGTGTCTAACGAAAACACAGGCGAATGGAAGGTTGTGAGGAGAGGAATGACCAAACTGATGGTGAGAAAGGAAACCAAGGACACAACAGCAGCTAAGTGGAAAAACTCTTTCAATCCTTTGATAGACGAATTGGACATTACCATGGTCAGGGACAGGGATGAGAGGGAAGGTACGAAAAACTTAATTGTTGGCAATTCCCAGGTACAGTACCTGGATAGAACTTTTTGTGGTATAAATAAAAATAGGATGAGGGTTTGTTTGCCAGGAGCTGGGGTGGGGGATATAGTTGACAGGATGGACAATATCTTGTCTGGTAATGGGAACAAACACATTATCTGCCTCAGTGCAGGAGGCAATATTGGCCAGTGTAGGAGTCCCATTCGTTGACAACTGGAACAGCTTTTACGACAGAAGGGACCTTTATGCATGGGGTGGGGTACATCTGTCTAGGGATGGGGTGGCAACCCTGGCTGGCTCTCTCGAGAGGGCAGTTCAAAATATGCCGAAATCTTTAAACTGCTAGGGGAACATATGGGCAAGGAGTTGGAGGAGACTGCAGTGGGAGCGGGTAAACAAAGTGAAAGGTTACAGAGAAATAGTGCAGGAATGATGACAAAACTAAGTTAGGTAGGGAGTTAAAACCTAAAAGTGTCAAAGGGAGGACTCGGATCATGACTAACTTAAATGTCTACTACGCAAACAGTAGGAGTATGAGAAACAAAATGGGTGAAATCAGGGAGTTGGTATGTACCGAAAAAATCGATATAATAGCATTCACCAAAACATGGATAAACTTAGAATCAATTGAGTTCCCTGCCGAATACCAAATTGCAGGTTATAAATTATTCCATACCGATAGGCAGATTAGGAAAGGAGGCAGAGTAGCAATCTATGTCATGGATAATCTGAAGTGTGAAATAAATAAGGAAATAAAAACTGAACTGATTACAGAAACAATTTGGGTAGAATTAATACATGGTAGGGAAAAATTAATCGCAGGAGTAATACCACCAGGGGCGTTCCTAGAGTATTTGGCACCCGGGGCGGACCTATCCACTGGCACCCCCTTCCTTCCAGATGAATAAATATACAGTAAAAGTAAAATATACAATCGTCCCTAGAGTACTGGGCACCCAGGGCAGGGCATTCCTTTGCCCCCCTTACTCTTCCTCTACCGAGACAAATGATAAAAAAGATAATAATACTTTTAAGGAATTTTGGATTATACATAGTAAATATTATAAAAGTTTTAGTTTCCTTCTATTAATATGGAATTATTTTTTTTTTTTACTAAAGTATAATGTAGCCTACATCAAGTATAATGTAGCCTACATCAAGTGTAATATTCGTAAATTAAAAGCAGGTTTGTAAATGTGGATGATATTTAGGAAATCTACAGTATATATAAACAAATGTATTTCCTAATTTCAACAAAATTTACACGATATAACAAAGCACATGCAACTAATTCAAATATACAAAGTACAGAAACCATACTGTATATAACTACAAGTTACACATTAAATACAGTCATGCACCGGTTAACGTCCGACCATATCACGCCGGTGCCCCCAAAAAAAAAATGTGACGCCTGCTGGACCACCACTCCACGACCCCCTGACGGAGACACGATGATCCTCCCCATACTGGTCAGATATTATGTGTTAAAGGAATATGCTTCCTTACTTAGGCTTTTTCTAAGCATTTGCCTACAGGTGAAATGTTAACCTACATCTATTGAGGATAAAATCTTTCACCTACAAATTGACAATAACACATTTGCTGTAATCAGACATATCTAGTTGCGTCAACAATTGCAACCCCAGTTGCAATTTCAAATTCTGTGGCATTACTAAAAATAGTAAAGTTTCTGATGCACTCTAAGATTAAGAGAGAAAACGGAGGACTCAGGCATCCTGATGTGAGAGGAAACGGACTCGTATGACGGGGGACCAAATAAAAAAAATGCATAGCTCCATGTTTTGTGGACTACAGTATTAAGCGTACCCTTTTCATCACTTTGTAATAAACCTAGCCATGCCTATGTGTGTTTATGATAATTATATATTATATATATATATATACAGTTGTAACCCCGCTTAACGCGGTCAATTGAACCCACAGGGTACCGCGTTAAGTGAAAACCGCGTTAAGTGAAAACCGCGTTAAGTGAACAACAGAACAGATGGGATTAATTCCAATAGAGACTGGCCCGACCCCCAAAGTCCACTTTTTGACGACACACAACTATGTTGTAGTAAAAATATTATCTTAACTTTATGATGGTATGCACACACAATTAATAATTAAGAGAAATATCATAATATTAGGTTTTTTAACACTTACATTAGTAGAAAAGATGGCTGGGCACACGGGGATGGGGGGTTGGTTCCGAGGCAGAGGGCAGATTATTGGCCCTCACCTGTATCACTATCCACCACAAAGGCTTGCAGGGCCTCTTTGTCAAACCCCTCAAAGTCCATATAAGTCCATATCCTCACTATAATTATCACTATCACTGACTTGGGCCGGTTGTGGTGGGTGAAGAACTCGGTAATGTTTTGATGACTGGGCGACCTTGTGCGCATCGTGCCCGCGCCACTTTCCGCGTATATGAGTAGATGAACCGCGTTAAGTGAAAGTTCGGTTCTGGCGAGGCACCGCGTATAAGAAAAATCGCGTTAGGTGAAACCGCGTTAAGCGGGGTACAACTGTATATATATTTAGTGGGTCCAAATGGTCGTAAAATGGGAAACTTGGGGTTGGGTCTTGGGTAAATCAACCAATTAGAATAAATCCCATAGGTTCTGTACTTTCGTTATCGGCGGGGTCCCAATTAGGCGTGATAACCAAGGGATGACTGTTACTGTATATACTTGTGACACTGGCCAGTTGCTTCTGGTGTTATGGTACAGGGGTACCAAGTGACAGCACTAGGATCCCGCTTCCTCTATCAAGGAATAAACAATTAAAATTTAAATTGAAAAAAAAAAATTCAAATAAATACTATCTTACAAGAATCCCTCCAATGTAGGTTATATTCACCCAGGTCGTTTGGGTGGAAAATTATGAGAAGAGCTTAGTCACTCTTAAGTAATGATAAATAAACATGCAGGCAGGCCTTCAGGCCTACTGTCAAATCTTATCTCAAATAAACAAACAAACAAACGCCAGACATTCTGTCACCTCATGCCCCCCCCTACCCCTTGTGTTCCAAGATAAAAGATTGGTGATTTCTTTATGTTTATTTTATATAATATCTCAGACTAAAGTTAGGATAATATAATTTGCATTGCTGAAATCCTTGCAAGACAGAGATTAATTTGAATATAAACGTCATATATTTTGCTCGAGATATAAAAAAAGTAGTACATTAGTGTACAATACAGGTTGTACCTCTAGTCCGGCAACCTCGGGACCTGACCGTTGCCGGACCATGGAAATTCACCCTTTTCCTGGTTAGATAGTGACTTGTGCTTATGACTGGAAGCACTAGCACCACTTTCTCTGCGTCATGGTCTCTTTGAAGATATATTGAAGGGTTAAATGTCGTATAGTAGATTCTCAAATTTCGCGAGTTTTTAATTCTTAACGTATTTTATTGGAACACACAAGAAAATAAATAAATAAAAATTTTGACGGCGGAAACTTGAATTTCGACGGGTTTGAACAGCCCGCCAACGTACAGACGACGTGCATAATCGTGTAAACAGGGTCATTTCTCGTATGTACAAAAGATTCATTATTGTTTATTACTGAATGTCTTTTTTATTGAATTAATGTTTATATGTGCAAAATGAGCAATACAATTCATTAATTATACGTAGAACATTAAAACACATGAGGAAATGACACAGCATTGTTTTCGTTGATTACAAAACCAGTGACTGACTGGTTCTACATATAAAACTGAAGAAAATAAGACCTTGGCTGTAGCTGTAGTAAAATTAATATGGTTGTTTTAAGTAATGTTATTTAATGTTAATAAATGGAAATAAATGGAACAATAGAAGTAGCTAACGATAATGGTAAAGAAAAAAGAGATCGCGTATGTAAGTGCGCATGCGCACACGTGAAAACATATCGTCATTACTTTACATAAGAATATGAAAGCAACACTTATTTACTGTTCATATATATTTTAATTAATGTTTCTGAATTTGTTTTTATTGAATTAATATTTGTGTGTGCAAAATTAACAATACAATCTATTAATAATACGTGGAATATGAAAACACACGATGAGACGAGACGGCAGCCGGCATTGTTTATGTTAAAGCTTACAAAGCCAGTGACTGATTGGTTCTACATATAAAACTGAAGAAAATAAGACCCTGATTGTAGCTGTAGTAAAATTAATGTAAAACAATTAATATAGTTGTGTGAAGTACCTGTAATGTTATTTAATGTAACAATATAAGTAGCTAACCATTAATGGTAAAAAAAAAAGTGAGACTGCGCGTATGTAAGTGCGCACATGCGCAAACATATCGTCATTACTCTACATAAGAATATGAAAGCAACACTTATTTACTGAAGGGTTAAATGTTGTAATCTGTATAGACAAGCGGAGAGAGAGAGAGAGAGAGAGAGAGAGAGAGAGAGAGAGCAGCCGGATGTAAACAAACCATAATTTCCCGGGGCTTTATTGTTTTGGTTTTTTTATGGGGATTAGCCCACCCGGGCATAGGTCACTGACCCACATTGGGGCCTGAGGGGTAAAAATTTAATAATAAATCGTTCCGGACCACGGGAGTTTCCGGACCACAGAATGCCGGACTAGAGAGGTACAACCTGTACATTAGTGTACAATACTGTAGTACATTTTATAAAAAGTTTTTCAACTGTATTTTTGGGTAGATTTACATAAATTTCTTCATTTATTTTCATCCATTTACATGCACACACCATACTAAAAGAAACGTAAAATAAATTAGTGCAAAGCTGGAGTGCACATGTACTAATTTGATTACGGTACTAAAATTGTTATGTCTAGTGCGAATTACAACATGTTTATATTCAAATAAATCAGTATCTTACAAGAATCCCAGCTATGTTAATTATATTTTCCTAGGTCATATCACTGGCATTTTAAAAGGAAAGAAGCTTAGTAGGACTGTTAAATAAACACACAGAGACCTTCACCTCAAACTTATCACCTCAACCCCCCCAACCCCTCGCTGGGTGGCGGAGCCATCAGTCCCTCCCCCCAGCCAGGCTTTTAGGCTTACAGTTTTTATCTTATATAATATCTCAGACTAAAGTTAGGAGATTATAATTTGCATTGCTGGAATCCTTGCAAGACAGCCAATAATTTGAATATAAACGTCATATATTTTGCTCAAGAGATAAAAATTGTTGTACATTAGTGTACAGTACTGTAGTACATTTTATAAAAAAGTTTTTCAACTGTATTTTTGGGTAGATTTACATAGATTTCTTAGTGCAAAGCTGGAGTGCACATGTACTAATTTGATTACGGTACTAAAATTGTTTTGTCTAGTGCAAATTATAGCATGTTTATATTCAAATTAATCAGTATGTTACAAGAGTCCCAGCTGTCAAACGTAGTACCTCCCCTCCCCCCACGCCCCCTCGCACCCTCTCTCTCCCCCATCTGCTGGCGTTGCTGGAATCCTTGTAAAACAGTGAATAATTTTAATATAAACGTCATGTATTTTGCACAAGAGATAAAAAATAATCACCTGTATCACATTACAATAGTGATTTAAGAGTAAAAGTGTATATGTATGTATATAGTATTCCACATACACAAAAGTATAAATAAAAAGTGTATGTGATGATCGGACAACGTCCATTTCGGTTAACGTCACATTTCCAAGAACGTATCTAGGACGTTAACCGGCGCATGACTGTAAAGTATTACACAATGAGAAGGGCACAGCCTTCTTCAACTCACTTTTATCAGAAACCTGACCAATAGCACTAGATTGTCCTAAAAACATAGGAAACCACGAGATACAAGCGGTATACTTTCATCTAACGCAATAAAAAAATATATATACAGTGGTCCCTCGGTTAACGAACACAATCCGTTCCAGCAGGTTGTTCGTTAACCGAAACCATTGTTTCAATGGGTTTTTGGGTAATTGGTTCCAGCTCACCGAAAATTGCCTAAATTCAACAAAAATGGTAGAAAAGTTCACTTACTATGAGGTGTGTATGTAGAAGGCTCCTGGATGATGATGATGATGATGGGAATTAGAATGGGGGTGAAGGAGAAGGAAGAAGAGAAGGCATTGGGGTGGAAGAGACGTCACCCCATGGCACCATTTCACCCATAAAATTTTAGTTCTCTTGGTGTATTTCAAGATTATTTTCTTTAAATCAACACTGCACTGCATTATATATTGTCAATATGTAAAATATATTTCAAAATGACCAATAATTTGCTTGGAAACACAGAAAAAAAGCGTTTAGTTGAAGAGAGTCTCAAGCAAGATGTTACCTCCAGTGAAAACAGAGAGAGACTAACGCCTGTTTGCTGTGTTAAGAGGCTGGATGACGCGCATTAAACCAGTCACTTTACCTTCAATTATGTTCAATAATTGTTAAAATGACTAAAAAATTGAACATTAAACTTTTAAAATTATTGAATAGTATAAACTTCTTGATATATACTAAAATAGTAAGGAATTTAAGCCCTAGAACCGATTAATGTATTGGCGGACTTATACTAAAGCTGGTTGACCGGCCAGTGCAAGCGAAAACATGTTGAGGTCGGTTCGTAAGAAATTCGTTAACCGAATTTTTGTTCGTTAACCGAATTTAAGAATCTTATGGGAGGCAGTTCGTTAACCGAAATTTCGTTAACCGAGGCGTTCGTTAACCGAGGGACCACCGTATTAGTTTTACAGCCTCATCGTTCGTGATTTAGCTTCAGCAAACTTACCAATTATTTCATCAAAATTAACTGTCTTGGCACATTCATTTTCGATAGAAATCATAGCTAGGCTGTTCAATCTTGCCCGAGTCATGCTAGAACGAAGATAATTCTTGATGAGTTTCAGTATAGAGAAACTTCTTTCACATGATGCAACAGACACACATATTGTTAAAAAGAATCTCAGGCACAATGACAAGTTTGGCAAGGTTTCACAAAAGTCCCATTTGACAATAAACTTCAGGAACTGCAAGACTATCCATTTATTTGCTTCTTCAGGTGTGATTTTGGCAGCCTCCATGTGTCTGCAAAGTTGCATAATTTCTACCATGACATCCTCATCAGAAATTTCATTAAAAATCTTGGTCATGCTTGAATTTGAAATATTCCCCTGAAGTTGTTGTTCTTCTTTTGCAGAAAGCATGTAGCTTGGCTGAATAGCTTCAAATATTGACAAGATGTTATGCATGGCCTCTGAACGAGCATCCAATTCTAGACTGAATCGATCTAAGCATTCAAACATTGATCTCCTAATTTCCTCTTGCATTGTCAGTCCAGCATCCCTAGCCATCTCTCCTGGCATCATTTTCTTACGTCTTATTCTCCCTCTTGTTTCCATGGAGATGCCCATTTCTTCACATTGTGTAGTTGCATATTGAATCGCTCTCTCCACAATTTCATTTCGCTGACTTCGAAGAAACAATTTCAAACCATTGAGCTTTACAGTGCAATTTTCAAGACTAATTCCTTCTGTTTGCAAATACTTGTGTGAGATTCACTCCTTCCAGTACATCACACCAACAAGAAAGATAACCCAAAAAATAAAAATCACACAGCTTTATGCAACACTTCAGCTGATCCTTGTTGTGGGAGAGACTCAGGTGATCCTTATATCAGGGGTAAAGGAAACACACTGATGTCAAGTTCGTAAGTTCTATTTCTGGGACAAACACACAAAAGGAGTTAAGACAGGGGAAACAGCGTCCTGTCTTGGAATCTCTCCGGGTATCTCTCTCTGCGCATGCGCGTACAGCGCGCATGTGCCTAAAACATGAACTAACATTCAAGTGACAAAAGGGAGTATGATTATAACATATAATACAGAGACCTGAATCAATAATGGTAAATAGTACAGTTACATATTACAGCATATTCGTCTCATATATCTACACTTGTGTCAACATTTTCTCTTTGATCCGTCAATGTTTCCAGGGCTATGATCAGCTTCTCAAATTGTTTCTTGAGAGGCTTTACGGCATCATGATGTGCACTCCATCTAATCTGAGAAAGTATTTTGACTGTCAGGTTCATATTTTCTTTCAGTACTTCCCATCGGTGAGTTGAAAGTGAAAAAAGCAATAAAGTTTCTCTACAGTTCCAAAGAATGTTACACATAAAGGATTGGTTCCAAAAGAGTGTACCCCACAAAGGTTCAAGGAATGATTGGCACAAGGGACAAACAAAACCTTTGGATTTATTTCTTTGATTTTTTTCTGAACACCTCCATGAATACCAGCCATAGTTGCAGCATTATCATATCCTTGACTGCAGCAAAAGTTAATGTCCAGTCCATCACTCTCCAAATTACTCAGGATATCCTTTGTGAGCTCATTTGCAGTTTTTCCAGCAATAGGAAAGAAACCCAAGAAAGATTCCCTTACTTCAACAGAATCACCTTCAATATGAACATATCTAATCACTTCGGACATCTGATCTGTATGAGACATATCAGGTGTACTGTCAAAAAGAATTCCAAAATACTTGGCCTTCTTGATGTCAGCCAAAATTTTTTCCTTAACATTATTTCCTAGAAGACAGATGAATTCATTCTGAATATTTGGTGACAAATAAGAGCTCACTCTCCTTCCAGATGTCTGAGATGGAATAGCATGCTTAACCTCCAAAAGATGTTCTTTCAAAACAGGATCATAGTTTGATAGTAACTCCACCAGTTCCAGGAAATTGCCTTTGTTTATTGTTAACATATCCTCCCAATGACCACGGACAGGAAGGTTCTGTCGAGCTAGAAACATAGTCACATCCAAAAGACGATGAAATGTCCCTCCATTTCTTCCTCTCTCTGTCCATTGCAGCTTGATCACCATGATCAACAGTTCTTTTGAGCTTTAGTCCTGCGTCATGGCTGTCACCCGGGGCGGAGCGCCCCCCCCCCTTAGTACGCCACTGAATACCACGACGCTAGTTGATGGGTTGTAGCGGAGGTTTTCTAAGGGTCAACTGAAATCAGCCCCTTACAAAGACTGTTACCTCATTACTTAGCAATTACAAGTATTCTCTATACTGTAAAACAATGTATTTTACTAATATCGTTGATATACAGTACATTACTGCAAAAAATACGATTATTTACTTACTCAGTAGGTAAAAAATTAAAAATAAACGGCTGCAGCTACACAACCCTTGCTGCTGTGCGGTTTGTTTACTAATGGCAGTGGTGCAGCAATGCCATCTATTGAGGAATTGCGAAAGGTTGTCTGCTGGTTTCAAAGCGCAGGAATTTTTGTTTCTTCACACTTGAGTGTCTAGAACTTTGTTCATTCACTACCAGGCCTTCACTGGTGTCACAAGCCATTTTCATTCCTGCAAATTATCTCCCTCATCTATGGCAGGTGTATCAAGGAGACATAAATATAATATCGTATTTAAACTTGAAGTAGTGAGATATGCCAGGTGTATAAAATGAGTGCTGTATAAGATTTCCACTTCTTATACAGATTTTTTATTAAAATTTAATGAAAATGACAACTTATAAGCAGTTCTCAGTGGTGATATTCAGAGGTGTGTGTACCTGTGCCAAAAGGGCTGTATATCAAGCAACGGTTTCTCTGGTGTCGGTTAGTAAGTATAAAAAGTTTTTTCCTAGAATTACATTTCCCAAATCAGCGACTCATTTGAGATGAAATGTGCAGCGCATCCAGACATAGCACATCCCTTAATGGAAATATCAGGGAAGACATGGCACACTGCAGACTCATAGTTCATAACAGCTTACCTAACCCTGAGATTAGGTGGAAGAAGTTCCTTAATGGCTTTTAAAACTTTCTTGTAGTCGCACTTGCTGTTTCCAGACATTAGACACAAAATTAATGGCAGTTGTTCTTGCCAAACAAATCCATGGATGGTAAAGAGTTGGATGAAGGGTTTTCTTACCAGTTTAAAGGTTCCACCCATATACCATATTTTCTTCCTAGTTAGAAGCTTGAGTTTTGTTCGTTGGATGTCGGAGGTCGCACTGAAGGAACCCCTCAGGAACATGATCACAGCGCAAGTCAAAATTAACATCTTCTGGATTACGGGGGCGATCTTTCTGGTGCATATACCCATTTGCATTCCCAGGTAGGGCTGGACATGGGGTATGGATTTCATATTCCTTAAGAACTTTTTCAGTTATAGATGCAGCTGACTGAAGGGGTTCAATTTTTGCTGTTACCTTGATGTTTTTATTATTACTTTGGCAGCAATACAACTGCCCAGCTGGGGAGCTGGATGTGGTCGTGGTTACTTCTGGTGAAGTTTTTTCATATTGTTGCACAGTTGCAGGGCATGAAATAGTCTTATTTCGTATGCTGCAGCGCCAAGTTGATTTTGCTCCCTTCTGTCGCTGTGTCCATTATAGAAGACTCGTCGAACTTCCCCTCACTGTTCTCTGCTGTAACTTCGTGTTCTTTACTTTCCTCTGCTGCATCTTGTTCTCCACTGTTCTCTAACCTACCTTCTTGTCCTCTACTGTAACTTGTTCTTCATTGTTTATCCTGCCAGCATTCACTGCAGTGCAAGGAAAAGGTCTCCAGCTAGCACAGCTCCCTGTAAGTTTTTTGTGACTTTCCGGTGTTACATATTTGGTGTTGCCATGGTAAACACCCATCACAGAACAGGGCATGCTGTCTTGGATGGACAATTAGGCCACAGTTTTAGCACTGATCCTTGTACTCCATATTGTTGGAGTCACTCTAAGTTAGTCTTCCTGTCAGTGTCTCCCTGTCAACTGCTCATGCACGTGACAGCTTTCCTGATAAGAGTTCCGATGTTTCAAGGCGTCAGGTTTTGTTCTCAACCATGAGTAACCCCCCCCCAAAAAAGTCTTTAGTTAATTCGGCCCAGACTATCATGGGCCGAATTCACTGGTCTGAACTCACCAGATACCAGAAAAACATATTTTTCATCACTAAAATATGCATCCTAACCTAATCAAACCTATGCATTTGCGATGGAAATATCATAGAAGAAAATTGTCTTAGAATTTTCTGTAAACTTCACATATGTTGCCAGATGTATATTAAAGAATTATAGAACTAAAGTTAACAAATGCCCATTTCGTCAAAAAAAATTTAAGTAAATAAAGTTTGATCACCAATATCAAATCCGTTTCATCACCACTAACAGACCGTCAGTCGCTGGTATAAGAGTGACAAATTGTTAAGTTATTATTTTACACGAATAGAAATTACACATGTATACTGATGACTTGAGAATTATTATTATACATAAATATTAATTATTTAATAAAGAAAACGATTAAAACATTGGTAAATAAACAAAATGCAGAACAAATGCAGATGTATTAACAATGTTTTTATTTTTGTTTTAATTTAGTCTTTAATAAATTGTTTGGTAAAGGTTTACAAAACAGCTATCACCAGAAGTAAATGTGCAATTTGGTTAAAAAATTTTGTACACACTATTAGCATATTAAATACAGAAATGGAAACGTCAATACATAGAACCAACTAGAACCTGACCTAACACACCCAACTTATTAGATCAGGTTCTATTAGGTTCCATGCATTATCGTGTTCATTTATGTGTTTAATATTATGCTAATTGTGTGTACAAAATTTTGTAACCAGATCGCATATATTTTTTACGTTAGATGTAAACCCAACCAAACAAACCCTCCTTACCCACCAAAAGAACCACCCAGGAAACCCGACCTAACGATTGTCACCAACGAAATTATTCCTAAAGAGTAAACCGGTATATACGTACAGTGGTCCCTCCGTTAGGGAGCACAATCCGTTCCAGCAGGTTGCTCGTTAACCGAAACCGGCATTCCAGCACTTACTACAAAGTTGCTAAGCTTGTTCCACTCGTCCACCACCCTATTTGTGAACCAGTTCCTTCCTATCTCCCTCCTAAACCTAAACTTATCCAACTTAAATCCGTTGCTACGAGTCCTATCCTGCTCGGATATTATAAGAACTTTATCTACAGTATATCGCCTTTAATGATTCCTTTCACCCACTTTAATACTTCTATCTTATCTCCACGCACTCCTCGTCTTTCTAGGGAATGCAAGTTTAGTTTCTTTAACCTATCTTGATATGGAAGGTTTCTAAGTCCCGGAATCATTTTCGTCATTCTTCGCTGCACCGACTCCAGTGAATTGACATCCATTCTAAAATAAGGGCACCAGAACTGAACAGCATAATCGAGGTGTGGCCTGACTAGTGCAAGATATAGTTGCAATAAGACCTCTGCACTCTTATTACTTACACTTCTAGATATAAAACCTAATACAGTCAATTCTGCTACAACGCGATAGTTGTGTTCTTGTAAAACCTTGCGTTGTAGAAATTCGCGCAATAGAAATAACAGGGCTTAAGGAGAAAATAGGGTTAGGTGCAGATTACTCGAAATCGAAAAAAATTTAGTAGTTAGCCTAACACAAAGGATAGCACAGTCTAAATAAATGTTACATTCATATCTAATAATGAAATCATACAGTAAATGTAACACTTTACTTTGAAAAAAATATGAATATAACCTGATGGGGGAGAAGGGTGATTTTGAGGTTGATAACATCAAGCTTCTCTTCAAGTATTATATCCTTTCTTTTACGATCACCACCGGGAATGCGATCACCAGAACGCTTCTTGGAGATATTCTTCTTTTCCATATTCACAGTTAATACCACAAAATTGGAGAAACAGTAAGCATAAATCACTGAGGACGCTTCAAAACAACCCATGTGTTTCAACTGATCGTGTGATGGAAGCAGAGAGCGCGTATTTATGGGAACAGCTAAATTTGCAAAAAAAGGATGAAATTTATAGTCCCTATCAAATTACACTTCACAAACAAAACACATGAATCAATTGAACATGTGATGTCGAACGTGAACTGTAAACACTACATAACCCCGCGCCAAGCGACAGTACACTTAAAACGTTTGAGTGGAATATCATTACAGCCAACACGCATTCGCGTTTTACAAATATCGTCCTTCTATTCATCAATCGTGTTACAGCCAATTCGCATTGACAAAACACGCATTGTAGCAGAAATGACTGTACTCTGTTTGCCTTATTTCGAACATTAACGCACTGTTTTCTAGGCCGTATGTCCGGGCTTACAAGTACCCGTAAGTCTCTTTCACAAGTCGACTTCTCTAGGTTGATGTTGTTAAGGCTGTATAGGTTGACAGTATTAGTTCTTCCAATATTAAGTACGCTGCACTTGCTGGTGTTAAATCTGAGTGGGGCCGTGTAACCAGTGGGGTTCCCCAGGGGTCAGTACTAGGCCCACTCTTGTTCATAATCTACATAAACGATTTAGATACTGGGATCAGCAGTGACATAAGCAAGTTTGCAGATGACACCAAAATAGGGCGGCAGATTAATTCAGGGCAGGATGCAAATGCATTACAGGAGGATCTAAATAAACTGCAGGGGTGGTCTGAAAAATGGCAAATGAAATTCAACACCAGCAAGTGCAGCGTACTTAATATTGGAAGAACAAATACTTATAATGTATACAGCCTGAACAACATCAACCTAGAGAAGTCGACTTGTGAAAGAGACCTAGGGGTACTTGTAAGCCCGGACCTACGGCCTAGAAAACAGTGCGTTAATGTTCGAAATAAGGCAAACAGAGTATTGGGTTTTATATCTAGAAGTGTAAGTAACAAGAGTGCAGAGGTCTTATTGCAACTATATCTTGCGCTAGTTAGGCACCTCGATTATATGCGGTTCAGTTCTGGTGCCCCTATTATAGAATGGATATAAATTCACTAGAGTCGGTGCAGCGAAGAATGACAAAAATGATTCCGGGACTTAGAAACCTTCCATATCAGGATAGGTTAAAGAAACTTAACTTGCATTCCCTAGAAAGACGAAGAGTGCGGGGAGATATGATAGAAGTATTTAAGTGGGTGAAAGGAATCAATAAAGGGGATATAGATAAAGTTCTTATAATATCCGAGCAGGATAGGACTCGGAGCAACGGATTCAAGTTGGATAAGTTTAGGTTTAGGAGGGAGATAGGAAGAAACTGGTTCACAAATAGGGTGGTGGACGAGTGGAACAAGCTTAGCAACTTTGTAGTAAGTGCGGGAACTCTGGAAAGTTTCAAAAGGAGGCTAGATAGATTCATGGATGATAGAGTGTGGTAGTAACTCTCGACAGGAGCTGCCATGCACAGGCCAACCGGCCTATTGCAGACTCCTTATTTTCTTATGTTCTTATTTAAATCCTCCATTTGCATCCTACCCTGAGTTGATCTGCCGCCCAGTACTGACCCCTGGGAAACCCCACTGGTTACACAGTCCAACTCAGATTTAACACCATCTCCGCTGACCCTCTGCGTTCTATCGGTGAGCCATGATTTAATCCAATTTAAAACTTTCCCCTCGATACCATGAGCCTTAACTTTTCTCAGAAGCCTCTGATGCGGTACTCTGTCAAACGCTTTGCTAAAGTCTAAGTAAATAACATCGTAATTTTCGTCATTATCTACTACCTCGAAGACTTTCCTAAAAAACATCAGCAGATTTGTTAGACAAGATTTTCCCTTTATAAACCCATTATCTTTAAAATTTAATACCTCGGTTATCCATAATTTCAGGTGGAAATATCATAGAAGAAAAATGTCTTAGAAGCGTCTAAATATTACGAAATACATATTAATATCGGCGAAAGAAAGACCGGTGTAAAATTATAAATTCACCAAAAAAAGCGGAGATGAAATAGGTAAAAAATGTGGTGACGAAATGGGCACATCCAAATACACGTAAAATAAATAATCCGTGAGAGGACTGGATATAATATATGACGAATTCAGAGAGACTATATACTGCACCGCATTACAACCACAAGTCGAAACGAAGAGTCTATCATACAGGAGCCCTAAAGGTCCCGGACTGAAGAGCATACACAGTACAATACAATGGACTAAATTAACCACTAACACTATTTCTTGAAAAATTACATTATAATAACTACTCTGTATTATTCTTGCTATATTTCGGATGTATAATTATTCATAAATGACTTACCGACTATAATATCTGGTCGTTTCTCTTGTACAGCAGATCGTCCAGTCGACTACCCTTCCGCCATCTTTGTTGACTGTTTCAATCACTACAACAAATCATAAATATTCATCATTTTATATTGATAAACTTCATTATTTGTAATATATTTTAATTTTAATTAGATAAAATATGTATTTACAACAATATATAATGCAGAGTAATTAATAACAGTTTTATACTCGAAAGAATAATTATATTATTTGACAACGAAGTAACAAATGTTCGAACACTTTCAGCGGGGAACAAGTAGTTTAAACAGGGGGGGGGGAGGACTAGCCCACTCAGGGACAGGTCACTGACACATCAAAGCCTGGGAGCGAAAATATAATTAATAAAAAATAATAATAATAATAATAATAATAATAAATACAAAAATAAATCAAGAGTGAGAAACAATGTACAATATGAATTGTTGTGTTGTCAATAGCAAGAGAAACAATTGAGACCCTTCAATTGTGTAAATGAGGCAGAAAGTCAGATTAGCCACCTGGGACTTGCTAAAAATTTTGTGATGCCATTGGCAACAGGGTCTACCATTAGACAACACATTGTGCTTCCAATATCTTCCTAGGCGGTAGTACTGTAGTGGATTCCTCCCCTACAAACGCCGCGTGTCGCTGACCGACCCCTCTTCTAATTCCCCAGCCAACGCCTCGTGGTCTGACAAAGCAGGTCAGCCATCAAGCCACGCCTACCTCCGCTATATAAGACCTCACCTCGTGGTGACCTACCTCTTCTTCTAGCTACAGCCGCAGCAAGCAACACCTCCTCTGAGCACCCTCACCAACCAGCTCTCTCTACTCCACGCCTGTAACCACGCTGCCTCCTCCCAGCACCAAGCTGCATTGTACATTCAATATAATATGTATACAGAGAGCACATTGTGAGTTTCCTTTCTCCAACCCATCCTGAGTGTAAACCAATATCTCGTACCCTACAAATGGTGACCCCCGGAGAATCGCACTCACACAGGGTGGAGGAGGAACGGATCATTCTCCCAGTCTTCAATCACAACATTGAAGACTGGCTTATCCACACGGAGGCAGCTCTCATCTGCTCTACAGCTACAGACAAACAAAAGTATGTCGCCCTGGTCCGTTCCCTGCCCACAGAAGTCGCCACGCAAGTATCAGAGATCATCACCAACCCTCCAGCTGACAACAAATTCGCTGCCCTACGGGATGCTCTGAAGACGCGATACCAGCGGCCCCACACCACTCTCCTACAAGACTTATCCTGTCTCTCTCTCTCGGCAACAACACGCCTGCATGTCTCTGGGACGAGATGCGTAGACGGAACTCCCGCCACACAGACAGGCTTCCTGACACTATCCTGCGCCAGCTTCACACTCAGAAGCTCCCTGCAGAAATTCGTCTTGTCCTCTCAGTATTGGACTATTCCACTACCTCTGCCACCTACGCAGCCACAGCGGACAGGGTATTCCACGAATACACTGCTGTGCGCCAGGCATCCACGCACAACTCCGCGGCTACACTTTCACTTTCCCCCGGTCTCGTCAACGAGATCAGCGCGCCCCAGACGACCAACACCTCACAGGACATGCGGGACCTGCTACTGTCCCTGCACAGCAGGTTAGACACCCTAGAACAGCTCTGCTCCTCTAAGCCTGCAGCTGCACCTGTCCCTGTCCCACGCACCACTTCCTACCGACCCCAACACACCCGTCCTGCCTCAGACGCCGCCCCCAGCCCCCAGCACACAGTGTATCTACCACATGTTGGTACCATCAACGTTTTGGTGCTAATGCTAGACGCTGTGAGGTCCCCTGCAACCACACGGCGAAGTGACATCGACGGAGATGGTTAGGCGCCACAACCTCCGCCACTATCAAGCAGCACATCACACGCCTTACTTCTGACCTTGACCACTTCACTCCTGCTGCCCGTCACGACCTACTACAAACACTACATCAGGCGGTTTCTGCATTCAAGGCTACTGCCCCACGCCAGCCTTCCCACCGCCCTGAACACATTCATCCCGCACCTCCTCCGCCAGTCTGCCCACCATTACCCCTTGCAGCACCACCTCGCCCACAACATTTCTGGGCACCCTCTTTTCTTCCTCAGGTACCTACTGCTCCTGACGACCCTGCAGCCGGCCCTTTGGACCCAGACACCCCACCCTGCGCCACTGAGGACCGTGTCCCTGCAGCGAGAGAAGCACCACATTCCTCGCCTGTGCAACCTTCTCTTATCCACAAACCTACTCCTCCTTCTACTTCTCCCACAGATCTCGTGTCTCTAGACAGAGTCGTCTCCCGTAGCAAGCGGCTCATTCACACCCCCGCCCGTTATGTCTCTTATGTGGGATACAACCCTGCCGACAACAAGTCTCCTGCACCGCCCGGAGGTAACGGGGAGTATTGTAGTGGATTCCTCCCCTACAAACGCCGTGTGTCACTGACTAGCCGACCCCTCTTCTAATTCCCCAGCCAACGCCTCGTGGTCTGACAAAGCAGGTCAGCCATCAAGCCACGCCTACCTCCGCTATATAAGACCTCACCTCGTGGTGACCTACCTCTTCTTCTAGCTACAGCCGCTGCAAGCAACACCTCTGAGCACCCTCACCAACCAGCTCTCTCTACTCCACGCCTGTAACCACGCTGCCTCCTCCCAGCACCAAGCTGCATTGTACATCCAATATAATATGTATACAGAGAGCACATTGTGAGTTTCCTTTCTCCAACCCATCCTGAGTGTGAACCAATATCATGCCCACAGGCGATACCTATACAATTTACCTATATATCATTCTATCTATAGACTGTAGATAGACTGATAGATAGGTATGCTTATACATAGAAGTCAATTTTCACTTTATAACTTATAATAACAGGTTTGTTACGAACTACTATTTATACTTGGAAGTCACTTTACATCTACTTACAAGGCATAATTATATTCAGGAGTCACTTTCACTTACTGTACCATGCATAGACTAAGTTTGACAGGGGCGGATCCAGAATAAAGGGGTCCAAAAAGTTGTGGGTGGGAGAGCATGGCTAGCCCACCCTGCTGGGAGTTTTGAAATCTGACCAATATCATGGGCATTTTGAGGCCATTTTGAAACCATAAGCACTTGATATTTGGGGATATTTTAAAGTCAAAATAAATTCTGGAGAAAAGGGTGGGGGTCCCCTTAAACTACAGTATAATAGGTGTAAAGTGACTCGATTATAGTTAAGCTTTTTAAGTATATGTATAGTGACTTCCAAGTATTATTATGTCTTATTATAGGAGTAAAGTAACTTATGTCATTGCCAGCTTCCACTACATTAATTTATGTACACTTACTTCACATCTTCCTCTACTGTTCCCGATGATTTATAATTTACTACCTGTACAAGTTTGAGCAAAAAGAAATTGTTTAACCCCTTCACCACGTGTCACGCACTTGCCATTTTATTCTGGCTACTGCGAGACGAGTTTATTCATCTTAGGGTGACCTCCCGCTGTGAAAGGGTTAAGTGATTCATCATGCTATTATGAGCCATGAGGGAGGGGAGGGGGGTGCAGCTACCTTAAAAGGATACTTCCAAAGTCTTCCTCTCTAGTCTATACACACTCACCACCCGTCCTCACACCTTATATAGGTACATCCCACTCCCAGACAAAAGCATCATTTGCATGGTAATTACGGCATTGCTGTAGACTAATGTTATTTAAAAGTGTATCACAACATTCCTTACTTCTGTATGAGAGTTTAAATTAGTTAATGTATTTTTCTTTTATCCTCTTCGCCACCGATCGGCTCATTAGCCGCTTGGGCGGTTGTTAAGTCCCTGTTACACACAGTTGGCAAGTGTTGGGCATGTACTGTACTGGCTCCAGAAGTCCAGTATTGGTCAAGCAGCCTTAATAAATATATATCTCCGTCATAACTGTTATTAAAAACTTGTGTCTTACCCACCACTGTGAAGGCGCCACATGTGGGAACACTACTGGCAACTGTACAGGTTTAATTTTCTTCACTTCACTACAAGACATACACACATACATCCCAAGTGACGGGTTAAAATAGGTTCAGTGGATGGAAAACAGATGGATGGAAAGAATAGCAGGCAAGAGCCATTCCAAGGGGGCTGCTAGGTACTGCACAGCCGCTATAATACATGTTAGAACCGATCACCAATGTTCCTTTTGTTTATTTAAGTCTTGTAACACTGCACGTGTATCACCAATGTTCCTTTTGTTTATTTAAGTCTTGTAACACTGCACGTGTATCACCAATGTTCCTTTTGTTTATTTAAGTCTTGTAACACTGTACGTGTATCACCAATGTTCCTGTTTATTTAAGTCTTGTAACTTTACGCATATCACCAATGTTCCTTTTGTTTATTTAAGTCTTATAACACTCAGTATCACCAATGTTCCTTTTGTTTATTTAAGTCTTGTAACACTGTGTATCACCAATGTTCCTTTGTTTATTTAAGTCTTGTAACACTGCCGCGTGTATCTGTTTGTTTATTTAAGTCTTGTAACACTGTACGTGTATCACCAATGTTCCTTTTGTTTATTAAGTCTTGTAACACTGCCTGTATCACCAATGTTCCTTTTATTTAAAGTCTTGTAACTGCATTAGTATCACCAATGTTCCTTTTGTTTATTTAAGTCTTGTAACACTGTACGTGTATCACCAATGTTCCTTTTGTTTATTTAAGTCTTGTAACACTGCACGGTATCACCAATGTTCCTTTTGTTTATAAGTCTTGTAACACTGTCACGTATCGCCAATGTTCCTTTGTTTATTTAAGTCTTGTAACACTGTCATTATCCCAATGTTCCTTTTGTTTATTTAGTCTTATACTTACCGCGTATCACCAATGTTCTTTTGTTTATTTAAGTCTTGTAACACTGCACGGTATCACAATGTTCCTTTGTTTATTTAAGTCTTGTAACACTGCACGTGTATCACCAATGTTCCTTTTGTTTATTTAAGTCTTGTAACACTGTCGTGATCACAATGTTCCTTTGTTTATTTAAGTCTTGTAACACTGTACGTGTATCACCAATGTTCTTTG